TTTCTTATTTCTACTTCATTTTTCTTTTTATCTTCTTCTTTGATGTTTACTTTATTTTTAAATAATTACCTCTTCTTTATTTCTTATTTTATGATGAATGAACATATCATTATTATTATTATTATTATTATATTATTATATTTAATTTTATTTTAGTATTAACATCATCATTTATATCATTTTTATTTGTTATTATTCATTCATAATATCTTACTTCATTCTATCCAATATTAATTACTACATTTGTTATTCAAATATAACATCATAATTATATAATAATTGGTAATTCATTATTTGATTTTGTATGAATGTTTGTGTGTATCTCTGACTTGCAATCTTCAAATCAAAATCTTTTCTCAAATAATAAATTAGGTTTCAAAAAAAAACCATTAAATCAATTACAATTTATATTGGAATCACAAAAGGCTTCTAATTTGGTTAAATTAGCGTCAGACATTGTTTCTAAATTTAATTCAAAACTTTCTCCTATTTCTTTTGCACCAAGTACATTAGGAATTTCTTTTTGTTGGTCGGGGGTTAATTTTTCTATTTTTTCCATTACTCTAACTTTATCATTAAGACTATATGTTTTAATCTCAAGTTTTTCTTTTTTAACTTTTTTAGTTTTAGTTTTTGGTTGTTGTTTTACATTTAAAGTAATATCTTCATCATCTTCTAAAACAAGAGGTAATTCTTCAGCCTTTCGTTTTAATTTTCTTTTTTCATTATTTTCTCGTTTTTCTTTTTCAGCAATTCTTTCTTTTTGAGACTCTTTAATAATTGTTTTTTCATCTTTAGAATGTAGTGGAATTTTATCCCAATGTCCTTCACAAAGAACTCTTAAATCATCTGCATAAATATAATATAATGTACCAACTCTATTATATGTCATTCCATTTTTCCAAACTTGTCTTAAATCATGCATAAAATCATTTGCAGTTTTATATTTATTATCATTTAACTTTGTTTTAATATTTTCAATACACATAGGTTTTTTAATAATTTTATAATATTCAAATGCTCCATCTCTTTCTTCATCAACAGGAAACATAAATGCAGCTATCTTTTGATTATTAGAAATCCAACTAATAAATTCTTGGCATAATTTTTTATTAAAATCAGTCATTGGATATTCTTTTTTATCATGGTCAGAAGATAATTTAATTTCTTCATTATATTGTAATGGGACAGGAGAAGTAAGTTCAAGTAAAATTTCTTTTAAAGGTAATGCCTCAACTAAAGAAGCAAGTTCTTCACTAGTAAGTTGTTTTAGTGTAGTTTTATTCTGGTCGAACTTTTCGAAAGCTTTCATAATAATATATCTGCTAAGATTGACATTTTTATTTCTAAGTTCTAAGTTTGAGATTGCTTTAAGAAGTTCTTTTGGATAAGGACCTTTTTGTTCAATAATATAAGTTGCGATATAGCTTTTAATTTCATCATTATTTAATAATTCAACTACTTCTTTTGCAATCGAATCAATTGATTGAGACTCAAGTAAAGGAGATCTTTGTAAATACATCCATTCAATAAAAATTTCCATTGCTCCATCACTAAGATTATTTGGCAAATGAAATTGAGAAACAACACATTTATGAACATCAAATATTTTTCCATTTTTTGATTTAATTTTCATATCAGTATTTACAGCTTTAAATAATTTTTCATTTGCAGGAGAGATTGTAGGATTATAAATGATTTTAATATTTGATTTAATATTTTTTTTATTAATTTTAAATTGAATAGAAGAGAATGGAGTTTTTGTTGATTTATTAGTATCAGTTATTTTTGCTCCATATCTAATTAATTCAGCTGCTCCAATAACATTTCCTGATAAAACTGCTTCATGAAGTGCAGTATTTCCATTTGGATTTGTTGTTTTTAAATTTGTACCTTTTTTTAATAAATAAATTAAAAAATCATTTCTATGGAAACGAGCTGCATACATTAATGGTGTTTCTCCATTAATATCAATACAATTTTTTTGATCAATTAATTTTTCAACAAAATCAAATTTATCAAAATAAACTGCAATATGAAGACAACTTAATTTAAGTGATGTTTCATTTGATTCTATTTGTTATAAAATTTTTTTTGTTATTCTTAGAATTTAAACAAACTACATCCATGCTCACAAAGTATCTCAAATAACTCTTTATTATTTTGTATTATCGTATAATGAATTGGACAATATCCATATTTATCTATTTTATTGATCTTTTCTCCATTAGATATCGCCTTACAAACCCTCTCTTTCTCTCCATTATAACATAACCAATGTATTGATTCTTCTCTCTCCCCCATTTTTCAATTTACTTCTAAGTTTTTTTAGTTTTTCATTTTCCTTTTTTTATTAAAAAATACTGATTAAAAAAATCCTTTTTATTTTAATTAAAAATTGATGAAAAAAAAATTCATAAAATTAAAAAAAAAATATTTGATTTTTTTTATTTTGAAAATTCTAAAAATATAAAAGAAAAAACTAAATTTAATGAGTTTAGATTGTAAAGTGAATAATGAATTTATTAAAATCTTATTTTGCAAAGAAAGCAAATGAAATTGAACTTAAAATGACTTTAGAAGATAGAATAAATGAAATTATTGAATTAGATAAAAAACACCAAAACCTTGAAATAGGGATTGCTCATAAGTCAACTCGATTAATGGCTATAAACATCATTTTGATATGTACATATTTTTTTCAGTTAGGAGTCATTGGATTTTTAGATTATTCATTTTTTAATTATATTTCGATTTATATCCATCTAATGATTTATGTATTAGAATTTTTGTTATTATTTATATTAATATTTGTGTGTGAAAAATCAAATAGAATATTTAAAATGGAATGTTTGTTAGTATGTAATAATCAATATTTCAATAATATTCAAATAACATTTATGTTGTAAAAAAAAATAATTTAAGATTTTAGTTAAGTCAAAGGTTAATAATGAAATTTTATTACAATACAAAGTAGACGAATTATCTGAAGATACTCATTATGAATCATTAACTAAAATAATTAAAAAATATTCAATTAAAGAAAAGAAAAGAAAATTAGAAATTGAACAAAAAGTCAAAGAAAAGTTAATAAGAGAAAGAAACAGAATTAATGAACAATTAAAAGATGAATATTCAAAAGAATATAATAAAAAATTACAAGAAATGAGAAAAAAAGTTGAAGATGAAATTCGACCAAAAATTGAAAAAGAATTTAGAGAACAATTAATTATTGAACAAGAAAGACTAAAACAAAAAACAATGATTTTAGGAAGAAGAGTTATTCTTTCACCTTCAATATTAGAAAAAGAAGGAGAGACAATAAATGAACAAAAAACACCAACAAAAGAAAAGAATAATATTAAAAATAAAACCGAGAAAAGTCATTCAGTAGATTTTGCAATTGTTAAACCAAAAATAGAGCGATTAACAGAAATAAAAAAAAGAAATCAATTAATTAAATCTTTACAATTTGAAAATGAAAATAATAATGAAAATGATGAAAATATATCTCAAAATAATCTTGAATTAAATGATTTACAAGAAAAAGATAAGAAAGATTCTGGTATTTTTATTCAAAAAGGAAATATTGAAAAAGAAGTTATTCGTTCTTCTTCTACACCTTTAACACCAAAAGAAATTAATCCACAAAATGATAAAATTATTAATAATGAAAATGAAAAAAATGATAATCAAAATCAAACACTTATAATGCCTAAAGCTAAAATTACAAATGTTAAATGTCAAAAAATTGGAGATGTTGCATTTATTAAATCTAAAAAAGGATTTGTTATTGTAAAATCAAAACCTCAACAAATTCATGTTCAAACAATAAGAAGAAATTCTCATCCAGGTGATATTGTTATTGCAATAAGAAAAGAACAACAAACTTCTTTAATTACTTCTTTTCTCTGTAAAATTTCAGGAATTAAATTAATAGATTTCTATTGTGGCGAATGTAATAAATTACTTACTCAAATAGATAATTCAATTAAAAAAACAATATTTAGACAATGCATTCATTGTGGTGCATTTAATAAAATACAAAATGTACAAATCAAAGAAAAGTAATTTATATTTTATTTCAACTATAAAAGTATTTTTATTTAATAAAAATTTCATATAACACTAAATAACTAAACGTAAATAAAAACTAGACTTAACTAATTAAG